CAACCGCGTCGAACCCAAGAATGCCGATGCACCAGGGCTTCCTCCCTCGCGAGGGTCTCGTCGCCGATCCCATCTTCCGCCTCATCGGGCGCACCGCCCTCAACCCAGCCCTCGTGCTGCCGCTGCTCCTGCTGGCACGCTACACCAAGAAAGGCGGCGACCTTGCCATTCTACACCCGACAGTGTTCTCGGGCCTCAAGAAGTTGGCATGGCTTTCGGTGCTGCGAACGGCCGATCAGTGGCTCTCGTCGCGCTCGCTGAACAACTGGGTCTCTGACCGCTACAACTGGTCCAAGGAGATCGTCCTCGTGACCGGTGGCGCTGGTGGTATTGGAGGTCAAGTAGTTCAACTGTTCGCTGAGCGTTGCACGACCGTCGTGGTGCTCGACATCCAGGAGTTGACCTACACTGCGGGTAAAGCGTTCCCCCCTATCGTTCGAGGTTTTCCTGGCATCTAGCTTCAAGTCGTTGACTAACACAATCAACAGCCTCCAACGTTCACTACTTTAATTGCGACATCACTTCCACCGAAAAGCTCGCCGCTGTGGCGCGGGAGATCCGCGCTCGCATCGGCCACCCGACGGTCCTCATCAACAACGCCGGTGTCGCCCGCGGCAAGACGATCCTCGACTCCACCGAGCGCGATGTCAAGTTCACCTTTGACGTGAACACCTTTGCCCACTTCTGGACCGTCAAGGAATTCCTCCCGAACATGATCGCTACCAACCACGGCATGGTCGTCACCATCGCATCCTACGCCGCGTGGTTGACAGTCCCCAACATGGTCGACTACGGCGCCTCCAAAGCTGCCGCCATGGCCTTCCACGAAGGTCTTTCTGCTGAACTCGTGACCAAGTATAACGCCCCTCGCGTGCGGACGGTCCTGATCAACCAGGGATACACCAAGACGCCGCTATTCACCGGCTACGAGCAGGGTTTGCAGTTCTTGATACCCGCCCTGGAGCCTGAGACCGTGGCAGAAGCAATCGTTAAGAAGGTGCTTGAGGGTACTAGCGGACAAGTCATCTTGCCCGCCGTTGGGTCTCTGCTGGGATCTTTCAGAGGAATGCCACACTGGTACCAGCACCACATGCGGTGCGACGGGCAAAAGCTGATGAAGAACTTTGCCGGAAGGCAAGTTGTCAAGGATGTTGAGAAGTACTACGAGGAGAAGGACCAGCAGGACAGGCCAGAGGAAAGCACCGTGCTCGTCGGGGAGCAGCAGGCTGCGAATGGGATCGAATGAGGTGGAACAGGTGAAGGACGTAGTGTCTTAAAGGGACATCAAAACGAGTGAGTGTTATGCTCGGATGGGTGTTGTAACTCTAATTTTCCCCGTCGTGGGTATTTCATAGCGCTTCCCGGGAGGTATTGGTTCGGCAATTTCCATTGATCAGGTACTGAAGAAGGAACATCAAAAGAAAAAAAAGTTCAAAAAGTGGCTCGAACCCATGGGCTCCAGCGCTGGATAATCATGATCTCTGTGTTCAGCTTGCATACTAGTTCTACCATACTGGGCATATTCACGGCCACTTATTCCGAGCGCTGTTGCTCAGGCCTGACGCAGACCTCCCTAGATATCTTTTGGGCCGACTCTCTCTTCACGTGACCCCTTCTCACCTTTACGATAAAAGCATTTTCATCATCGTCTTGGGCCTGGGAAGCTACTAGATAGTCAAATGACCTTCTCGAGACTCGTACGCTGGGCAATTTCTTCGCCAAAATTATTGACTCAAGCGACTGGTGCGCGGTAGGCGGGATGACAACGGTAGACTAATACTGCACCCAGTCTCGACCACACTTCAATCGAAATATTGTTATTTACCATCCATATCACGAGCGTTGAGACATTACTCGATACGTAAATCGCATGGGTAGCTGCTGTCTTGAGCTTCCCTGCAAGCTTGTTGGTCCACACGCACCCTTCATTTGGCATTCCAACAGTACTTAACCAACGGGCCAAGTAGCGCCTTTCCGTTTTCCACTTCTCGAACACGCATCCCATTCCGTCTGCGATACCGACAAGATGCCCAAAGTTCGTGGAAATCGCAACCTTTTCTCTGCGAAAGCCGCCTCTTTACCACTACCAGGACCGCCAACCCTACCGGACTCATTTACGGGATCTCCATCTGTCGTTGAATGTATAGCCCAGCTACCCACCGAGCTGGCTGATGAGATCTTCTCACACCTATCTAATCGCCATCTCAAAAGCCTACGTCTCGCTTGCGTCAAGTTCTCTGAGATTGTGCGTCCTTACTTCCGTTTCGAGCGAGTCTTCATCTCGGCCAATCCTCGCAACATCGAGGTTTTCCGAGCGGTCGCAGAACACGAAACATTCCGACATGCCGTTCGTGAGATTGCGTGGGATGATGCTCGCTTGCTGGAGGCTGAGGATTACGAAGATAGATTCGAAGATGTTCGTCTCGACGGCGAGGAGTCTGATGACGAAGAGTCAGACGACCCTGTAGAAAGCGTGCCTTGGTTTTACGTGCGAGCGTGCGAAAAGAATATCGAGGATCTACAGGCACTAGGCCACGCAGACGTTGAAACCCTGCCGCAACATATCGAAACCGCGAAGCAAGTCCACGCGCAGCTGCCCGTGGATGTCGCATACGCCTACTATCAAGGTCTCCTCCAACAGCAGAGGGATGTCCTAGCTTCTGGAGCCGACATCGCCGCTTTAAGATGGGCATTAGACGGCAATATGTTTCCCAACCTAAAAAAGATCACCTTAACCCCCCTCGCGCATGGCGTCCTCTTCACGCCTCTGTACCCTACACCCATGATTCGGAAATTTCCACACGGCTTCAACTACCCGATCCCCCGCGGCTGGCCCGCATCGCCCGATCCATGGACAATGGGCGCCGAGAACTGGGACAACGAGGACGTCAAGGAGAGGTGGCGTGGCTTCCGCCTCGTGACTGCACTCCTGGCGCAACAGACGCGAGCCAAGGTCCCGGAACTCATTATCGAGGGCAATCAGATCGGGTCAGGCCTGACAGCTGACATCTTCTCAAGAGACGAAAAGTGCAAGGAGTACGACGATCTCTTCGCGTTGGTCCATAAGCCGGGGTTCTCCGCGCTCACATTGCATCTAATGACGGGTGGCCAGGAATGGCAAAGCTATCGTGCCTTCCGCAACGGTCGTCTCCGAAAGCTGTTATCTGCGAATCTTCAAAGGGTCACATTGGAGTTAGATCAGGACCGGAATTATGATTTACAAGAAGATTGGGGTAATGCAGTTCGCCCGGATCTCTTCGTTCCGCTGCGCTCCGTCTTCCCGGTCGAGTCGTGGACGCAGTTAACACACTTTGGGCTATCAGCCTTCCTCGTCAAACAACGGGATCTCCTCGATTTCCTGGGGGCGCTTCCGGAAACACTTCAATCTGTCGAGCTGAGTTCTCTCTGGTTCATGAAAAATTCCGGAAGCTTTAGGGGTCTGCTTGAGGGTATCCGTGACGAGCTTGACTGGCGCGGGAGATCCGTTCGACCTCGTGTTTCCGTCCGAGTTGACTCGGACGCCCGTGTCGCGGCGCGGAAAGTGTGGCTCGACAACGAGGTACAGAAATTCATCTATGGCAACGGCGAGAATCCCTTCCCAGAAGATTTCACGGGCTACGGGCTTCAAAGGGGCGTCGGTATAGAGAAAGATGCGTTTGAGCCGAGATTTGAGCGGCCGTATGCCTCGCGTGACAAGATGGTGGCTTTGGGGCACTGGCGGTCCAATGTGTAGGGGTACTGATACTCTCTGAAGGTATCTTATGAAATAATGAGAGCTCTTGAGCAATTTTTCTATCTAGATTTCTATATCATCAGCTTCCCTAGCATTCTTGAGTTCCGACCTTCGTCAAGGTTCGCTTTCAGATTATTACAAATCGCTCTTTAGGGTTAAGATGCTAGACTGTGGAAAATGAAATAATTTGTATCGAACGTAAGAAAGAGATAGATCAATCATTCTGTTCACAAACGGCTCTTCAGGTCTTTAGCAGATCGAGCTGAGAATCGGTGTTGCACCGAGTCTCCAGGATGGCACTGCATCTCGTATAGTGCTCTCATTGTAGTGCTGGCTGCTCATGCCTCATGCATACCCAGCGAGTTACTGATCGTGACGACCGTCAAATGTATTACTGCATCAAAATTCGGAATTCTATGAGTCAATCTGCCTTTGAATAGCGAAGCACAGGACTACGGAAGGAATGCGTGCAACCCACTGCCTACATATATTTACATAGTGGCTGGGTCTTCTTGAGCAGCTGTAATACTTTATCGACATCCGCTCTATTGCATGCATGGATTCCGCGTTTTTCTCCGTTGCGAACGAGTACCCAATTTCATGAACACCATCACTGCATGGATCAATGTCGTCTGCAGCCCCGGTGAATCAGGGAATTCATCAGAGCCACTTTCGTCCTGAATACGCTCCAACTTGGATTGTTCCCTGTGTCAATATGAAGCTTCGACGCCCTCCCCCCTCATCGACTATACCGACAGGAGCAGAGAAATAGGACTTGCATTGAGTGAATATCATCATCTTGCGAACGCTCATCTCGCAGGGTGGAGGCTGTACACTTCCCAGAGCTTCGTCATGCAACCTATTCAAAGCCGGCCGCATAAGAAGCGTTCAAAGGATCGAGCTGAAAAGGACTGAGCCACATTCAGCATTTGAGACATATCTGCCCAACGCATGCCGTCATTGTATGACAAGCTTGGTTATCGTAGTCAGGCAACCAATCATGATGATACTTCCTCCAACATCATGCCCACACGAAGACGCTTGGCAGTTGGTCAGCCAACTACATTTGGACTTATTGCAGAGCTGAGAATACTTTGTTGGCCAACCTTGGTGGCAGATGACTTGCAGCGGGCGATGGCACTCCTGTTGGATGGTATTGATCAGGCTGTCGAGGAAGCGAATCAGTCATGTATATAGACAACGTTTGTTATCGGCTCTTACAGGCAGGTTTCTCCAACGGCTTGACCTCAGGTCTCTCAGCTCTACCATGGCGTCTCTGGCTCTGACCGATCAAGTCCATGGACAAGATATTTCATCTGCTCGATCTTTTCCCTCACGTCCGCCATCATACAATGGCGAAGACTCCCGCGAGAGTTTTATGCATGCACTGAGAGCTGAGCAGGAAGCAGCTCTGGCTGCCGATGCCGAGTCAACACAATCAAACCGACCCTCGACGACCAAGAAGACTGCATGGGAAAAGAGCCGTGAAATGATTCCCTCGGGCGAATACCATTGGGCTCTTGAAATAGGGGCGATAATAATCAGCATCTCCTCTCTGGTTGCCATACTTGTCCTTTTACCCATCTCTGAGAACCGACCATTGGCTTCGTGGCCGTTGCCGGTGTCTCTCAACGCTATCATCTCGGTTCTTGGGGCTACTTCCCGGGCATCACTGGCTTTTGCCATCAGTGCGTGTATCAGTCAGGGAAAGTGGAATTGGTTCCGCCAAAGAAACGACAATATTATGGTGTTTGATCGCTTCGAGGAGGCCAGTCGTGGCCCATGGGGAAGCCTCCGCCTGCTATGGTGGACCAAACTTAGGTATGTCTTTTGATTCCTCATAAACTCCAAGCACCATGAGCCTGACATAAGTGAAAAGACATTGGAAGGCTGTTGGAGCCCATTCGGCCGTCGTTCTCGTCGGGTTCGAGCCGTTCCTGCAAGCGGTTATAACATTTTCTGGAGAAGAGGTTGAGTTTGTAGGGTCAGAAAACTCCACCAGTATCGGAAAAACCGTAACTCTGGATTCTGGAACGTTCACGGAGATTTCAGAGAGTCCCGTATTTGTAGAGCCCCTGCCAGAGCCATGGGGACAATTCGGCGGAGCTCCATTTCGGTGGGGTTACGATTTCGGTGCGCTTGCGGCTGTCTGGGAGGGCTTCTCCGATATCAACACGGCAGAGAACCTCAAACCAGAGTTCCGATGTTCTACAGGCAACTGCACTTGGCCCTCGTATGCGTCGATAGCCACTTGCAGCTCCTGCAGAGACGTATCGAGCCACATCACCACGTCCAGCGGCATTGCGGATGTCACTGACGGCACGCTCATTACCGTTTATCATGACAATCATTCGAACATGCAGATCGTAAATCTGACATTCGACTGTACTCGGCATGAGTTGAAGAGTCAGAATTTGTCAATATCGAATTTCAACGGGCTCGCTACGAAAGAGCACACCAACGCGCAGTCACCGACTGGGAAAAACAGCGCGTACTTGACTGCGAGAGCAATAAACAATCCTGGGCGAACTATCGCGTTCCAGGATTCCAAGACTCTGATCACAGCCATTTCCATGCTTAAAGCAAGCCAAAATTACCGCAACAGGGAACAAAATTGGGAGGACAGTACCGTCACGGCGGAGGAGTGCGCCTTATATTTCTGTACTAACGTGTACCGATCCGCCATCGAGCAGGGCAGGCTGAACGAAACAATCTTGGGCTCATATACGTTCCGAGACATGGACTCTTACGCCATCGTCAACCAACCTGATGAAAAGTCGAAAGTCTACGATAAGTATGTTAACTACACTCTGCTATCCCCCTTTCCACGTTCCGACCTTTACCTCGTGCTACCTGAAGAGGAGTTCTCTTCCGAAACTGGAATTAGCGTGCCCAACGACTTACGGTTCCGTATCACGTTCAACACTACGAGCCTCCTGCGCTGGATCTCAGGCGCGTTCTCCCGAACCGATTTAGAATGGAGCAAACAACTGAACTTCCCGGTAATACAGTCGGGTGAAACGGAACAACCGTTCGTCATCAACAGATTAGGCGCTTCAACCAACCTTACAAAAACCTTTGAAACCGTGGCGGCCAGTCTGACAAAATGGATGCGCAACCGCTCGTTGCAGACGGAATCTTTCGTCGGGGCGAGAAAAGAGTGGGTTGTTCGGATCCGGGTCAGCTGGTCCTTTCTGATCCTGCCCATTGGATCGCTCCTGGGAGGCTGCATCTTTTGTCTCATGTCCATCTTCGAGACTCGAGGACTCGGGCTACCGGCGTGGCGGGGAAGTTCTCTGGCAACTCTGGCCCATGGTCTCGGCGTGGAGGCGAGAGCGCTTTTGAGAGAAGCGCGTGATGGGGAACAGATCGCAACCTAGGTGAGAAGTCTGGACGTGAAATTTGAGGACTCGGATGGGGGTCCAGAGCTGGTTCATGTTACGAAGGAACCGTCCAGAATTCAAGATGAAGTTTGAAGTCTCAAACATACATACAGCGGTCATTCATGCTTGTTTGAGATCCTCAGTGCATTTGGATGCCGGAGTTGGGGTTAGCTTAGAGATGGTAGTTCGCCAGACCTGAATTTATTTTTTTCTTTTTAGTTCTTGAGCCAAGATAAACGGCTCTGTGGCCGGGCTGAGTATGTTCTATATGCTCTGACAGTTCACTTGTGGGACGATTCGTCCTCTTCCTGGGGGTAGACCAAGCCAACGTAATTCAGATATCGTAGCAGAATATGAAGGTCGCCAGAAAACAATCCATCCATGCCAGTCAATGCGTGTAGTGGAATGCATACAGAAAGCCTTGGGGTTGTCGCAAAGTCTGGAGAAATCGATCGCGATTCTCATGGCCTACATGCTAGCTCTGCATCTCAGGGGGGACTCTTCTCAAAATCCAGGGCGATGGCGCACTAACAATACCTAAGTGGACTGAGCTAAAGGACCCTGAAAAGTCCTAAAAGTGGAAACAAGTCGATGATATTCAATCATCTCTCCCAAATCCAATCACGACGGACCACAAAACAGCCCAGGGCAAAACGTGGTGGAATGTCGTCGGTGGCGTGCAGGTTGCAACTCCAGGAGGGGAGGACCCAAATCCGGGTTCTCGCCCGTTGGGCCCCACAGCGATCGGCCTGCAGATCTCGGCCAGGGCCTGGCCAAGTCCTGCTCACAGCACGGAGCCGCGGAGCCAACCAGTGCAACCCGACCCCATACATGATTTCATTGAGCGTTCTGGGAGGTGAGCCTCAATCCTGCTTGTGCTTGTGTGCCAAGATTTTTGTTGATGGTCGTCAGATGCTGATAAAATGAGTGTGGCCTCCTCGAGCCCCTTGGGCTCTCCTTTATGATGGAAAGGCTCTCCACCCCGTCTTTGGGAAGAAGACCACAGCCATGTTCCATCATCTCTCGCTTTCTTGAACATCTTTTTTGTACAATATTTTATCCACTTACACTCGCTCAACATACACTCGCTACAAGCAACGAAGATGACGTCGAGAGATAGTATCGTATGGCTCCCAAAAGAGCTGTACAGTTCCGTTGAGAGATTCGCCGACCCAGAACATTTCATCTGGTGCCCCATGCCCTTCGACGACTCATTACCATTGGAACAAACGTCGTTTATCCATATGAAGGAGGAAGAAGCAGAGATCGACATCCGTGAGCCGGTAGTGGAACCCGTATCGAAGAACTATGATCGTAATCGAGATTCCGGCATCGATCTCAGCATGGACTATGAGGTGTCCCCGCCCCCGAGCGTACATATACCAGACGAACCGACAGATCCGTCAAGCTCAGAAAGCGAATCCGATAAAGATGTTCCTCCAAGGGAGCCCGCACAGGATGCGAACCGAGGGAAGCGAAGGCAACGAAGACGACCGCCGATGAGGCACGATTCTCCCAAGCCAGAAGAGCCCAAGGGACCAACGGTTAGGGAGAGTCGAAGCTTTGCGGTGCATTTGGGATTAAATCTCAATGTTGAGGTGTCCCTGAAAGCAAGGGTGTACGGCGGGTTGGAGCTAAGCATGCTGGTAAGTGGTTGACTGGCTTTGTCAACTGTAAGAAGGATTGCCGCTGATACCCTGCAAGTAACGAGTTATGAAAACGATAGATTCGACGAGACCACGAACGAAGAAAAGGAGAAATTGTAACAGTAAGATGAGCCGGAGGTGTCAAATGATATGCTTCATTTCCCTCTAGACCTAATTCGTTGGCCATTCCATGAAGACCACGAGGTTTTCCGCTTGGAAAAAGGAAGAAACATCGTTGGAAGCTTTGGAAATGGTTTGAAGTGCATGGGAAAAGGGAGATCGGCAAGTGATGCCATCCCGAGGGGTATCCGCAACCGCCGAGATGAAGCTGCCAGACGGGACTCAGTCTGCGAGTTGAAAAGGACGAAAAGACCAACAAGCAACTCGTAGACGTGCTGAGTTGAAGTCTGTGAATATCTTTTGATGAACCAACGAAGATCGTTCGGGGAAATTTGCAATGGAACCGAGAACACGGCATCGTGGCCGCTGGCTGGCTTGCCTGCAGGCTGCCCCTTCAGCCACAGACCGAGGAAACAATGATAGACAAATAAAAGTCATCATGTCGCAGACGCAGGGTCGAGTCACCCGTTCCGTGGAACGTTATTGTACAACACGCAGATCACGGCGGCGTGGTGAAAAGAAACGTGCTGTCGCAGCCAAGGATGGGTGGTTGTTCCAATCAAGGTTTGCATCTCGCGGCGATGTTCCCAGCAGACCCTCAAGACCCCCAGGAACACTGCCGGGGCACACAGACCGCCCGGCGAGTTCCCTCCTTCCCCATCCCGTTCGGGCCTAGACCGCCGCCACATCTCAGCTGTGGTGGGGTCTCGACGGGCTCCAACAGGCCCAGTCCCTGAGACGCCAGCGGCAGGCCTACAGCGGGCTCACAGGCGTGCACCCCGCTAGGCCCGTTCCTCTCGTTTATCAAGACGCCCGAAGGGCCTGGTGCGCATGGCTAAATCACCTCAGGCGCGCCATCGCGGCGCAGTGGTCGGGTGCATAATCTCCTTTTGGCGTCTCTGCTTTGCTGGCCGGCCGCTGTGTCCGTCGCAAAGAAAAATTATCATTACTCCAATGGGCCGGCCGGCGGCTTTGCTAACGTAGCTGAGGCGAGCTGCGACCTCAGCGTCTTCTCACCTTCTCCCGTCTAGCCTCAGCTTGTTCCCTCCCTCTCTTCTCCTGAAGCAGTCCGACTTCTGCCACCGATATGGTCCCGTTATGAGAACGCGCCGTGCTTGCCGTGAGATTCCAGCCTGATCCCTTAAATCGTCCGCCGTCAGCAACGTTGCGACCCCCGATTACGCCAGCGAGGCTTCCGTAACCAATCTCACGATCTTCATCTTCACGATCTTCATCTTCACGATCGGGCGACACTTCGAATCGCGATCCCGAGTCTTGAACGCCGACCTTCCCACCATTCATCGCCTCTCAAAGTCGTGTCTCTCGTCGACAGATTGCTTCCGAACTCAAAAAATGGCTCGCAACATGCTTATCCAGCTCATCGCCTCCTTCATCCTCCTCGCCCTCCTCTCCCCGCTGGCATCCGCGCAGTCCCTCTCAATCTACCAGGACTCCGACAAGTACAAGTACCAGGGCTGCTTCAACGAGACCGTCGACCTCGCGGACACGGCCAAGGTGCGCGCCCTCGCCGATGGCGCGAGCAAGACATACCCCGTCGACGGCAACATGACGGTACCGATATGTCTCAGCTTCTGCAACAGCGGAACCGACACCCAGTACAAGTACGCTGGTGTTGAGTATTCTCGGTGAGTCTGCGACACCCGTCCCCCGAATAAGAAATCGTCTCAGGTCTTCGAGCGCGTTTTGACTTGTGAATGTGTCGCAGCGAATGCTGGTGCTCCCAGAGGCTGTCCAGTCTAGCGACGAAGCTCGATGATACGGCGTGCAATACCCCATGCGACGGAAACCGGGACGTCGCTTGTGGAGGCGCGTTGAAGTTGAGTGTCTACATGATGCAGAGCGGCAGCGCTCGGGTTGCGGCGACGGCCTGGGGCTTGGTGCTTTCTGGCACACTGGCGGTTATGTCTTTTTGAGAGTTTGACTGGGGTTTGCTAAGCGCGTCTGATTTTTGGAAAAACTTCTTAGGAGATACCCCTAAGTTTGGACGGCAATGATCTTTAATCCTTCTCAAGCAGCCATGAATAGAATAACGATGACACTTGAACGATAAAATCTTTACAGCTCGTGCCTCCCAAACGCCACCCAATGGTATCCTGGCATCAATCGTGAATCATACAACTTCATAGCTTGAGGGGCGCCAAGCCCCTCCGCTCTACGGCCTTCTGGACCGCCGCCTTGATATCCAAGACTGTCCTCCTCCAAGCCCGCTTCCCTCGCCCTTCGCTGCCGTCCTCCTCCACCAACCACTCGAGCCACTGGACCAGTTTCGATGCCTTGTGCATGTCGCGCTCCTCAGCCACGACCTTGGCCAGATACTTCTCAAACATGACGACATCCTCCTGGTGTGGACCCTCCGCCCGAGTCCCGTCGTGCCAGGCCTCGATCATGTCCTTGATCTCCTGCACCGACTTCACCGCAGATCCCATGAAATTGACCTTTGGCGGAGGTGCAGGGAATTGAAGCTTGGTTTGTCCGCCGGGTAAGAAGTCGCTGGCCTCGGCTGGGAGGTGCTTCCGGGGCGCGTTGAAGTTGAGACCGGATTTCTGGGCGAGGCGTTTTCTCCGGTGGTCTTCGATGACTTCCCGGCGGACGTCTTCCGGCAACTCGGCCAGAAACTCCGGGTCCAGTTCCTCTGGCTCATCGTTCTGCGCTGCGGGGGCAGCCCCCTTGCTCGGCAGGAAACTTGTTTGCAGACGGTTTGCTGCGGCATCCTGCTGTCTTTCCCTTGCATTATTGAACAAGTTCCTACCCCTCTTTGTTGGTGTGATTGCTTTCTTTGGCTGGATTATCCTGTCTTTGCGCGGTGACTGTGGTAACCGGGTTTGCGCGCTCTTCCGTCCGTACTGTGCAAGAACCTCTGCCTTCATATCCTCTGGCAGGGCATTGAAGACCTCTGGGTCAACCTGAGATGGGATATCGTTTGGTATCGCAGGGCTCTGACTCCTTGACTTGGCTTTCGGCGATGCTGGTCTAGCTGCAGGCGGTGGCTTCTGGCCCCTCTGCAGCTTGGATCGGATATCGCTAGGCAGCTCAGCCAGCACAGCTGGGTCGACTTGCGATGGCAGGATGAACTGGGTACCCATGATGTTCAGTGGTGTGTTTGCTTTCTCATCCCTCTCACCAGCTCGCGCCAGTGCCAGTGCTGGATGCACTTTGGGTTTCCTTGGTGTCAAAGGATCGTCTGCAATAGGATCTTGTGCAACACTCCCC